CCAGTTCTGTCCTTTTCTTCTTTCTGTGACCTTTCTTCCCTGGGTGCCCTTGTTCTGCCTTTTCCACACAAACTTCTTCCCCTCCCCCACACGAACTTCTTCATTGAGGTTCAAAACCAAAATTCCTAGGATTGGGGTCCAAACTTTAACTTCTATAAAAATGTGCAGAAATGGGACCAGCAGATGGCATAATGGCTACATTGCTGGACTCCCATGTAGCCAACCACGGTTTGAGTCCCGGACTCTCGCTGTCTTTTTGGCGCCCTATAACAAAAAAACTCTCAAAAAAAAAAAAAAAGGTGCATAAATGTATGAGAAACATGTTCTGCGCAGTTCAAATATATTTAGGCTACAATTTCTTTTATTTTTGGAGAGATTTTCACTACAGGGCACATGCACTTGCCAGACCAACAGAGAGAGACATAGAGACAGAAAGCGAGAAATCACCCACCAGGGGAGATGGCCACGCTGCAATTCCTTCTCCTCCATTCTCCTCTCGGGATCTTGGGCATGCACGCACATGTGCCCGGCATGAGTTTTAAGCCACCGGGTCCGGGACACGAACCACGGTCGACTATGTGGGAGTCCAGCGACATAGCCATTACGCTAACTGCGGGTTCCCTACAATTTCTTTTTTTTAATCCAATTTGCAGAAGTAACCCTTCTTGACTTACAGAAGTTTTGCCAATTTTTTATTTTTTTAATTTATTAAACTCTCAAGTCATTCTGGTTAGAGTAGGGCTTTCAGCACTGCAATAACCGAACTGGATATTTTAGTCCTTAACTCAGTCCCCAAAATATTGGGCCGTCAGAAAAGTCATGACGTACTTTTCTATGCAAAAACATGTCATGGCTTTTCTGATGGCCCAATAGCACTTGGCAGAGCTCCCCGCACCCTGCCGCTCACAGCATGTGAGCTTATACTTGTTACCCAACCTCTCTGCCACCAATCTTGGGGTCTCCCTCATAGGATTAATGAGTGGGGGACCCCACACAATGCCTGGCACGTGGCAGCCCTTCGGCAGATATTGGGCCCATTTCACTTCCCTTTTTACCTGAGCTGGGCTCCCTGATGCCAGTGAGTGACCCTCGCAACCTCTGAAAGATCCACCAGGTTTACAAATGCTTTGGGGACCTAGAAGGACATGAGGGAGAAGAAGGTGAACATTTGCCAAGTCACCTCGGCTGCCCAAGGGCTCTCTGGAACCCCCAGATGGGCCCAGTTTGGGGTCTGATAGAGCATACTCAACCTCTCCTGAGTTAAATGGGTAAAATCCTTTAGGAGATATTGTTGGGGTTGGTCCAAAGCTGCCAGTCTTACTCGCAGCGCCATCCGAGAAACACATATCTCACCATCTCAGTGGCGGGCACCACCTCATCATGATGTCCACAGAGGAGCAAGATCTTAGGGGTAATGGGATTGCAGACACTCTGATAGAAAAGCTGCCATCCCAGGGGAGCAGAGGGGACGATGAGAGCCACAAAGCTCTGGGATCATCAGAACCTGCATATTCATCATGGTCACTCTAGAGACAGGCCCTGAATGATCTCAAGCCTCCTCCGGTCCATGATTGTCCCAGACTCAGTCAAACAGGGCCTTGGGAAGGAGCAGGGAAATCTCCTCTGTGCCCTTTCTATGGTGTTTTAGAGGGTGAGGAGGCTGCTCCTCTGGAGCTTCTCCTTGCCCCAGGGTCTTGGTCTCTATCTCAGGAGGCCATCTCCCCACCCTGGGGGAGGCCATTGAAAGTAAGCCTGAACCCCACCTGCCCATTGGCTGGGGAGGGCACACCCGAGGAAGACGGAGTCTCACCTTCTCGTGCAGGTGGTCCAGCAGCTGGCTCAGCTGGTCTAGGTTGTCCTCCACGTGGCTCTTCTGTGGGAGGAGAACTGTCTGAGCAAGGGAGGGTGACAGCACGCAAGCTGCCAGGCCCGCCCCTGCCAGGCCAGACAATGGGCAGAGGATCCAGTTTCCAGAGCTTTCTGGCTTTGCCTACCTCCTCTCCCCCATTCTCTGACTTCCTGACCATCATCAACCAAGGGTAAAAAGCAAACTTCCCAAGTGAGACGCGCCATATCGGGAAAGGGCCATGTCGAGGCTAGAGCAAGGTAAGAAAGGCCGGGCACGATTCTGAACCTTGTGTTCAGAATGGGAGACTCATCTGAAACACTGAAGAAAATGAAGTCTCAGGAGAGTTCACAACTATCCCTGGATTTGAGGTCCCCGATGGGCCTTGGAGATTTACACGGTGCTACTTCCCCAGCCCCCTCCCTGCCACCTTCGCTGCAGGCAGGAGCAAATTCCCAGAGAAGAGGGTGAACAGGCCCCTGTCACCCTGAGGATTAAACACCTCTCCTCCCAGCCCTCCTCTTCGTCACAGCTAATGAGAATAAACAAACACAGGCACCTTGAAAATTGACCTTGGTTTATCTTTTCCATGTGAAAAATAAATAAATAAAATTTACAACCAAGATCCCAAGCCCTTGAAAAGTAGCTGTCCCCTGAGGCGACTTGGCTCAGATAGGAAGACAAGAAAGGCCGAGGAACTGTTCTATTTCCTGGGGAGACACTGACTGTAGAGACAGCTGCCAATCACCCAGCTGAATGGCACGGAGCGCAGCCTTCTGTCCACAGCCCGGGAGGAAACGCAGCCCAGGTCTCTCCTCTCTCGGTCCCTGCTCTGATGCGAGGCTGGCCTTTAGGGGGGCCAGTGCAGCCTGGTCCACCAGTTACCAGAAATAAAGCCTTTGATCTAGTTTTCTTTTGTCTAAGTGTGACATGACACATCACACTGTCCCTTCTGAAGGGCCTTGGGGACTCTAGCTAGAAACCTACTCCCTGCCCATCTATACCATATTTGAGATATCCATCCTCCTGCAGGGAGGCTGGGGGAGGAAGCCCTCTTGGTTCCCTGCTATGAATGAACACTGCTTTAGAAACCCCGTTTGTCACAGGTGTGCTCACAGACACAGGGGGAGGTGGTGCCCACCCAGTCATTCTAGGCATGGAATGTTGTTGATTGGGGCACAGTTGTCCCTATTTTTTTCTTTGTAAAATTTTTGCAAGAGGGCATTTGGACTCACCAGAAAGATACGTAGAGGCAGGGAGAAGTAGAAAACACACCCCATATGGGCATACCACAATCCCTTCTCCTCCATTTCTCCTTCCTGTTGGAATTTTAGGCACCCATGCATATATGGCTGGCATGTTCTTCAAATCACCCAGGATAGGATTCGAACTACATCGTCTGCCATGTGAAATCTGGCTCCCTTCATGAGGCCATGGATTGGCCTTCTCTCTGTTTCTTAGTGGAAGACATTATACCCCTGTAACATGTCCCTGTTTTATAAAGTCATATAATAAACTCCTTCTTGAGCCCAAAGTCAGGAGAAACCTTATTTCTCCAAATGAACGTGTACATTTCCATTATATCTTTGGCCTCCAGATTCAGAAGAATGTCTGTTATTGAACCCATGCCGGAGCTCAGACTTTCTCTACGAAGTTATTTTCTTATGATATATTCCAAAGAGTATTACCACTCAGTCAAAAAGTGTGAACCCTCCGAAATGCTCACACCAGTTGTTAAGGGTTTTTGCAATAAATAAAAGTATATGTTTTCTTGCCATGTCACTGGCTTTAGGTTTTCTTTTTCTTCTGATTTTTTAAAATCTTACTCATTAATTTAAAAACAAAACAAAACAAAACAAAACAAAACTAGATTTGAGAGAGCAGAAAACAAGTGTCCAGACCCTAAAGTCCTCCCTGTGCCGCTGCTCTGAGCGTAGTTACCATGTATCTGTGAAGCATCTGTCTCAGAGCAGTTAGGAAGCAGCACTGTCACTTGTGCACAGTTCCTGATTTCACTTTCTTATGGCTTTGGTCTTAATAAAACCCCTAAAAAACAAATGTGGGCATAGAACTTATCCATTCCTCACTAAAGGAACCCACAGTCCTCCTCGGGAGAAGAAGATTCCAGGGCCCAGAACAGGAGAGTAGTTCAACACTTGATCATAATGGTAGTGATAAAACACCTGTTTCTCATATGAACATTCAGAAAACTCTTGATATGCCACAGGTAGAGAGAGGCAGAGCTGCTTTGGGAAGCCAGGTGGCAGCCTGGAACCCCATTTCTCAGCCTTTGCTCTCAGAGGCACCTCCAGTGGCTCCTGGTACTCTATATAGCACTTTTTTTTTTTTTTTCTTTTTAGGTTTTTGCCATAGGGTACGTGAGCTTGCTGGGGAGAGAGACAGAAAGAAAGTGAGAAATCACCCCGTAGGGGGATGGTTATGTTGCAATCCTTTCTCCCCCCTTCTCCTCCTGGGATTTTGGGCACACACACACACACACACACACGTGCCCAGCATGATTTTCAAGCCACCAGGTCTGGGACTTGAACTGTAGTCACCCATGTGGGGTATAACGCCTTAACCACTAAGCCACCTGCTGGCCCACAGAGCATATTTTGACTACTGAGGAGGAAATCAAACCTGGCTGTGTGTAAGAACTTGTCAAATGCAGTTATTGAGCTCCATCACAGGATTGGCTTGAAGAGGGAGCTGTTGCCAGAGGCACCGCCAGGAAGTCTAGGTCTGGGCTGCAAAGGCCAAGAGGCCAAGAGAGCCCGACCTAGAAGGCATGAGGTCCTGTGTGGGAAATGCAAGTGGAGGAGGAATTTATTCTGGGCTCTGAAGCCCTAGTGGTCTTTGTGTGGAAGGAAAATCAAAATGGAAGAAAAAAAAATGCAATGAAGAGGGAATCCGAGTGGGTGCTAGCATTGCCACAATGACCTAAATTTATCGAGATCAAGTTACTCGTTCACAGCCATTTAGAAACCAGGATTGAAGCATGATTACTTTTGTCATATGTCTGCAACCAATTAAAAGCATGAGGTTCTAAGTGTGAATAATCTCAGTCTTACACATCAACACGACTAGCTCCTAAGGGAATTTCACAAGTTGACAAAAAGCATTAAGTTTGATAACAAGCATGGGAAAGGTCATAGGGAAAAGACGCTGTCAGACACTGGTGGGAATATAAGCAAGTTCAGCTACTTTGGAGGGTAATTTGGCTGACCTATTAAAACAAAGTGTAGGGGGTGGCAGGTGGCATGGTGGTTAAAGGCACTGGATTCCCACACAGTCAACTGTGGTTCAAGTCCTGAACCTGGCTTTCTCATTTTCCCTCTCTCTCTTTCTCTGGTCAAATCAAATCAAATAATAGTAATAACACTAATAATTAATAAAGAAGTTGAATAAAATAATTCTTTAGAAAAAAGTGTACATATCTGAGGACCAGCTACTTCTATATTTAAGAATCAACTCTAAGTCCTTTTCTCCAAATGATTTTGACCATGACTCATATTATGAGATATGTTTCCCCTCATAACCCAGTGTATATATCCATATAGAAATACAGCAAAAATCATGTGACTCAACACTCACCTTACTCTGTGCAGTGAACTTGGATGCCTTATTGTTTATTCTATCAAGTTGTTGGAAAAGTAATGACACGTTTTTCCAGAGAAAAATATAGAAGAGATACTTCATGACTTTTCCCACAACCCAATATTTCTAGTTTTTACAATTTTAGTTGCAATCCTTTTTTTTTTTTTTTTTTTTT